AATATGCATAGAAAATTTCCAATTACGCATTGAAAAATAATTGTTGTGTATCAATTACGCATTAAAAATGTTAGATACGCAAAAAGTTTAAAACAAATGCGTACGAAATATATTTATAAAAATCGCTTGCGTAATGAAAAGGACATCGATTGCTATCAAGTTGTACTGTTAGTATTGGACTAGTGTTGTACTGTCAGTATAGGATGAGTGATTTTTTATGAAATCATTTCCATTATATTTAAGTTGGTTTTGATTAGGTATGACATAAGGCAGAACATACCTTAGGTGAGTAAAATGACTGAAATACGCACTTACTTGAAAGCAGTGGGTAACGGAAAATGAAATACCCACTCAACATTCATAATACCCACTCCAAAAAAATACAGTGGGTACAATACCCACATGAGCTAAATCTTATCTGGAGCTCTGTAGAGTTAAGATGATATAATGCGTTTGTAGCTGTCTTTGTATGAAATCATGTAATCATCATATGTACACGGAAAGTTAAGACATGCACTTTCATGTCTGTGCCTGGTTACAGTTCGCGAATATCAAAGTGGTTCCACAGAAAACAGAGATGAGTAATAGCTCAATAAGTATTCATTATCCCCGATTCCCAAAACCAGCAGCAGCAACACCCAAAATCCGTCTTTGTCCTGGACAACAATATGATATTCATAGCACCTGGCTATGTCGCACGTGTCAAACAGACAGACCGTGGCCATTTGATTCCCCTTATTATCTGACACAAGCCAGCATGATTGGACAGTGTTTCCGTGACAATAACCTCATACCTTGCCGTTCTTCTCAGTAGCCGTCACGGTGCCATGTAACCTTACCATTCCTGCAATTATCAGGCCCTATTTCTGTCTTCAAATCCTCAATTATGCCGATGTGACTACAACCAGCTGACAATTGTCTACATTTGACATCCGAAGTGGAGGCAGTAGAATTACCAGGTGCCTTCTTTGTTGGTTCAGATGATGTTTTTAAGAGGTCTGCCATCGGTCAAGGATTTGACATTTAAAGTGGACGCCACTCGCTTGACCTTGTGCTTAGGGAGCTGACATTGTCCAGCAAGGCTTGGCTGGTGGTCAAGGATACTGGACTTCTTTGTCTTGAAAGGAAGTTGTTTCCTGCATAAAGATAATCTATCAGGCTCGGGTCAGGCATGTTTAAGTGGAATCCATTTTCTGATTTTGTTGAGGGTATCTCGTAATCTATTTTGTGTGTTTCCTTTGTGTGTGTACTGCGAGCTTTGATTTAGCTTCGATTTATCAAGATTTATGCACAGAATTTATCAATGTTTCAAGTTTCTATTCTGACCCTTATCTACAACCCCTGACATTAAACCTATTTTCTCACATGTTTTTTGCCAGTAGTGTTAATTTGTTGTGCCTCTCCATAGGTTAACATGAGTGGAAAAAGTTGGTATATGGAAAACTGTTTGAAAGTGTTGGTGGCCAAAAATTAAATTTTCAATAAAGGTCCATCTTTAATTACCTCTTCTGTGAAAAAAGATTCACTTTAGACAGAAGTTTTACTCATGCTTGGAATTCACTGTGGAGAGTTATGTCCATTAGGTGAGCCAGACACCTAGGATCATGGGTTATCTTACTAGGTTCGTCAAAGCCCTATTGTTGTTTGGGTGTCGTAATACTATCCAAAGCTGCGATTAACCCAACTGGATCATCAGCTTACAACAATTTCTAAAACCTTTTGAGGAAGAGATTTACCAGCGCGCTGGAATTAAGGAAACACTCTGTTTAATGTATTAATTGGATTTCTAAAGTATTTTAACTCTGGGATTCCTAAATCTTTAGTTTTGACAAGCTTTAGGTAACGACTCCTTTTAATGTCATTCTTGATTCCCATTGCTATTTATGTTGAGACATCCTTGGTGGATGCCTACAATTAGTCAACTATATTGTAGGCACAGTGCGTGAGCTTCATTCTTGTCTTATAATTGATCCCACCCGGACCAAAGTGTGGACTGAAATACTCTTGATGCCATACTGCCTGAAGAAATACTGGCCAACGTTACCTTAATATATTGGCAGTTTCAGACTGGTGGTTTATGAGCGCCACTGATAGCAATGGCAGAATCATCGATTTTGTTTCAGCACAAATTACCTCTGATGATTCACCCACTTGAATCGTAAAAAATTAGACAAAAAACAACAATGTGAAACCCATCATTTGCTTTGATTTTTTTCTTTCAGCGCGGACAAATATGTTTGGAAAAAATCGCTATGGATGACAATGAATTTGAAATTAGCACGGTTTGGATATTGTCTCATTTGTGAGGCTTTGTCCGCGATGAATTAAACAAATCGTCTCCAGTTTGGTTCTTGCTCAAAGCCACGTCTTGTGAATTGCCAGTTGGGAAATGTCAGCAGCCGTGGAAGCTATTTTGCCTGATTTATTGCAAAGATCCCGAAGCTTTCTTAAACTTTCCAATGTGTTGCTAAGCTCCTAGCAGTGACTTCAACGTTGTTTTGCTCGACCTGCTCGTGACATGGCCCCTGAAGGATCTGGGGTGCATCGGCAATCTAGCAGCGAGATTACCGTGGCCCCTTGGGAGCACTACGCTTATAGTCTGCTTCACTATTTACACAATAACACAGTGACACATCGTGTTGTTGGTCTGTTTCTTTACAATTTGCTTTATCTGATAATATTTGAATTTGTATTTTTCTTTAATGGATGGTTATGTTATGTTATGATATGTTATTTTTGGATTGGTTCTTTGTGACTATTAATATCCTTTCTTGATTCTGAAGATCAGGTGGAGACCCATGCTTGTCATTGAAGATCCAGGCTATGAATTGATCTTCAGTAACCCATGCTTGTCGTATACACAGACCCCAGAGAGACTTGCTGACTAAACTCACTTCACATGATAACTGTAAGATGTGAATCCCAGGATGACAAAATATGCCAATCCACCCCTATTAAATTGATGCTAATCATGCTGTTGATCACTGGATTGTTCTGGTTCTCGTTCGGACCTGTAGATATTACACATAAGACCGTTGTCTTTTCTCTAACTAGCGGAGTCTAATTATTGATCAAAGTGTGATACTATAATGCTGTAGTGATCAAAATTGCTGGAGAAGTGCACGTAAATGCACAAAAAATGCTTGCAATGCTAAACTTACACTAAAACTCAATAGCAATTTGTAATGATAACTGTAAGATGATTTTGCCCAATTTTGGGGTGGATTTTGTCGTGTGGATTTTACGGTCACCGTAAGATGTTGCCCATATCTACACACAAACCCAAGGGACAAACTCAAAAGTTCCAAATTATGATGCACAGGTTAGTTCCAGTCATCAGCTTTAACCTATCCGAGAGTTTGTCCTTCACGGCTGAGTCATTATGAAGTCTGAAGATGACTGGAAAGATGTCTTTCATCATGCTGAGTAGATACAACAGTCAGTCCATCCTTCATGCAGAATAGCCCAGGGTGATTTAATATCATATTCCCATCACAATCTTATTACAGTATTCTCGGCAGGCTTATCCCTCCTGTTTGAAAAGCAACTCGTCCATTTGGCTCGGGGATAAAATCAGGCTCCATCTAGACGTTACTCCCTGGGGTGACATCTTATCGAAAATGTATCACCCCTGTTGGACACCATTGGTTATGAGTGTTCTTTCTCCTCGGTGTGCCTCGTTATTTTGCCATTCACCTTCCGAAACTCTGAGAAATGTATGTACCGATCCAGCGAGCTCTTGCCTTGTAAACACAGCGCCCAGCACTCCCAGGTGTATCTAGTCAGCGCCATCTGGTGTGGATATCTGTTAGCTGCACCTGTCGGGGAATCGGAATCGGGAGGAGGGTGGAATGGCACGATAGGTAGACATGATGGGCTTGTATGGTGAATTTCTGCAACAAGTATTTGGAAGGGTAGACAACAAAGTTTTATTCAACTCCTCCACTCATGATCTATATCCATATAAAACAGATGAGCGAGCCAGTTCATGAACCTTTTTCATCAATCCAAGTTCAGTAATGGCACCAGGTGTGTGCAATACCAGCAAGGTCACCCTGCCCTTCCTGCCATTAATGGGAAAGGTCAAGGTCATGGCACACTGGATTCTCAAATACTTCTGAAAAATGTTTGGCCAATATTATGTATCAAGGTGGTGGCATAGTTTCTTCAAGTAATTTGTCTTTAAGGTGTAGGTCCCTTTGTGGTGCCAGTATCTGATAGTCATGGGTTCAACTGCTGTATCTGGCCAAGTTATGTGCCAAGTTTTGTGGCGCAATTGTATTAATGGGTTAGTGGTAGTTGTCTGCTGGATGCTCGTAATGTCAATCACTGGATTGTCTGGTCCAAACTTGATTATTCACAGACCAACGTTACACAGCTGGAGTAGTGCCGAGTGCTGTCTTGAACTGGAACGAAACAAACAAATCCATGTGTTTTCACCAAAATAGCAACTGACTGGGTAACTTTTGGATCACAACTGCATACTGATTCCTGAATTATGTTCCAGCATTTCTGTATTTTATGTGCATTTCCTCTCTTCCAAAAAGCTGTCCACTCACTTTTCCAAAAGATGCTTCCATCCTTTGGTACTCTGAGCAATTTTAGACAGTATCTTGTGGTTTCTGTATTTGGTTCCTGCCACAGGTACAATGTTTAATGTACATCTGTGGCCGAACATTGCTAGAATATGTCAAAAGCTGCATGAAATTATATCACTATAACTTTCTGTCAGACCTGTCACAGTTTGGGAGGGGCCGACAATATCAATAGTCTATTTCTGGTGTTGACTTCACTACAGCAGCTACACATTCCAGTGCATGCATCGAGGGAGTAATCATTGATGATGAATCAACACACGTGACTAGTTGGATTTATTCATGTCAAGACTCTTTTTGACTCACAGTTAATAAATGTGGATGTTGATAAGATTTTTATAAGCATATTAATTTCTGAATATCACCAAATGGAATCATTGTTGCTGTGTTTGTCGATGCAGGAAGTGATGCATAAATAACTGGTTGATAAGGACGATGTTGGTAGTATTTATTATTTCTGACTATCATATATTGGTTATTCTAATAAGCAGTGTAACACATATATATGTACGTTGGTTGATAAGATGTACATAACACATATATTGGTTGATAAGATGTACATAACACATATATTGGTTGATAAGATGTACATAACACATATACGTTGGTACATAAACTATAGGGGGGTGACAAGGAGATGTCATTCCAGCTTATTTGTAAGATACCCTTCAGGAATGAAAGTGATGGTCATTTTCTGATGACTGTATCCTCACACAGCAGACAACTGCCCCATTGCATCGAATCACTGACGTCTTATCGATCTGGATAAAAACATGGTCAGATTGGATGGCACTGGGTGTCACCTTGCTGTGGATGTGATTTTGTGCCTGTCTGTGACTTTCCGTGGCATTAATGCTGGCTTGTCATATCTGTGATTAATGGTAAGCAGCTGAAGAGCTGCATGTGTGAGTTGCCTGTCACATCCAGGGGGATTGCAGCTCGTAGGCTTTCCAATGACTCACAGTTTTGTTTTAAGAAATTGAAATTTGTTATTGATCCTGGACGTCGAATGGAAATATGTGATAAGCGCTTGGAAAATAAATAGGCTTTCGCGATCATTAAAACTGAATAGTAATGAACTAATCAAATCTCATTGAAATTCTAAGTTAAGTTTGTTTTAGTTAAATTGAATTAAACAACAACCATGTTTTTGAAAAACAGACACAAAATGAATAAAAAACAAATTTGAAATGTTGAAATAATAACTGCTGTTTTGCAAGGCACCAGCTACATGACAACGTGAGTCTGGACTGTACAATCAGTCAAGTTACCTGATCAGTCAGCCCACACTAGAGCATAAACTGTTTCAGATGTGGTATTGTAGGTTCTTTGGTAGAACTGACATACTTTTCTCATGAATGGATGTCTGTGAGAACACTTCTCTGCTTCATCTAATGATGTATAGTCACCTCTATTTTTCCTGTCATGGTTCAAAGGCATTGTTTCAGTGGACACAGCAATATTTAACAATATTAAGAATAACATCTCGGAAAAATGTTTTTAAAGTCACTTTTGAAAACAATTTGAACCAGGAGAGTTTTTGCTTTTTTTGCTATTGGTTTATTTTTGAAGTCATTTTTCATTGTTGACACCACTACTCTTAAACAACATGTCTGAAACTGAGCATAGTGGTCCTCCTGGTGATTCATCCCCATGTTGTAAATGAAATGGGTATTGATTTCATCTTGTCATTGACAATCTGCCAATCAAATGTGAAATAGACTATAGTGACTTGTTGCTCTTAATCTCCTGGAACTGGCAGCGGAGGCAGTGAGGGTTGAGGAAGTCACTCTTCCCCATCCTCCCGTTACACCCAGGCTTTTGATGGCCAATTCTCAGCCCAGAGCTTTAAAGGTCACATGCAACCAAAAAAAATCAAACATAATTAAAACACAATTATCACTTATTCATGACATATAATATACATTGCTGATTATGAAAAACATAAACAAATGTATAAAGCGTACAATCATAAATCAAACATGCAATATTTTGTACTTGGGGTTACCTCCCAAGAAACGAAGCAGCCGGGATACCCGAACCCAGTCAGAGCGGGTGGGTGTGCACCCAGTAACGGCGCTGGTTCATTTGGCAGATGCTCTCCACGGCTCATTGTGTATGTATATATAGAGATGTTGGTTTTGTAAATACATGCTAATTTTTTGTGCATAACATTTTGCAATCAACAGACATCATAACATGTCATGTGTACAAGTATCACACCTGCCTGTCTGTGTAATTCAATGTGACAGAGACGAACTGGCCATAAATCAATCGCGCTTTGTTTATGGTGTATAGCCTGATAGGTGTTAAGTTTTAATTGCATGTGGTCAGTGATCAAAGTTGTGTATTGAATATTGTCATTAGCAGACAGGCAGGCAGACACATAGGTGTCAATAAAAATGACATTGAGTTTTGTCTGTGACAACAACATATCTATATCACAGTTAGAAATTCTGTCAACGCTTAAATAATGACATTGTTTAAGTATCGAACTGAGAAAGTGACTCGGTAAGAAGAACGTGTGGTGAAATAGACAAATGAAATTATATAAACAGTTAAATCGATAATCTACTGTCATAACATATAAAAGCTCGTGCCTGTGAAATATCAACAAGCCTTCACCGAGTATTCACCAGACAACCCGATTCCAAGCTGTGCGAACCTATTTCTCTGCGCATGTGCTATGGCGCAGCCCAGCTGTTGAAACCACTTTTCAACCAAAAGCTGGGGAAAATGAGTGAATCGTTTGAACTCCGATTTCGATGCGGTTTTTCATCGCGTTATTTTTCACCTTTATAAGTTGAATTTGCATTTATGATGATTTGTTTCGGTAGTCCATACCGAAAGGTATCAGAATCTGCAAAGTTGTGTTTTACGTTGCATGTGACCTTTAAGGAAATACTAACCAGTCTGCATTTGAGTCAGTATTTGTTTGTAGCATGGAGGGTTTGATGGAAGTGTGCATTTTCTGTTTTCTATTTGAGTTGATTTGGTTTGATATGATTTACTTATTTGTTGTTTAATGCCACATTAAGGAAGATCACCCATTTTTACCTCAAGTCTTCACAGGGCAATGTGATAAAGTTATTTCCCTTGTAACAAGGTTACCTTCATACAGGTAGGAATCAACACCGTGGTTAGAATTACCGTATTCACCATAGTAAGTGTACCAGCTGCTTAGTAAAGTGACAAAGGGGAATGCTTATAAAACAAAACACATGTTAAATGTAGAATTCTCGTATTCCCCGTAGTGAGTGTCCTAGTGATGAAAGGGATGTTCATAAATAACTCAGGATTAGTCCAGAATTACCGTATTCCCCATAGTGAGTGTCCTAGTGATGAAAGGGATGTTCATAAATAACTCAGGTTTAGTCTAGAATTACACCGTATTCCCCGTAGTGAGTGTCCTAGTGATGAAAGGGATGTTCATAAATAACTCAGGTTTAGTCTAGAATTCTCAGTATTCCCGTAGTGAGTGTCCTAGTGATGAAAGGGATGTTCATAAATAACTCAGGTTTAGTCTAGAATTCTCGTATTCCCCGTAGTGAGTGTCCTAGTGATGAAAGGGATGTTCATAAATAACTCAGGTTTAGTCTAGAAATTCTCGTATTCCCGTAGTGAGTGTCCTAGTGATGAAAGGGATGTTCATAAATAACTCAGGTTTAGTCTAGAATTACTGTATTCCCGTGAGTGAGTGTCCTAGTGATGAAAGGGATGTTCATACATAACTCAGGTTTAGTCTAGAATTCTCATTATTCCCCATGGTGAGTGTCCTAGTGATGAAAGGGATGTTCATACATAACTCAGGTTTAGTCTAGAATTACCGTATTCCCCATAGTGAGTGTCCTAGTGATGAAAGGGATGTTCATAAATAACTCAGGTTTAGTCTAGAATTACAGTATTCCCCGTAGTGAGTGTCCTAGTGATGAAAGGGATGTTCATAAATAACTCAGGTTTAGTCTAGAATTACCGTATTCCCCGTAGTGAGTGTCCTAGTGATGAAAGGGATGTTCATAAATAACTCAGGTTTAGTCTAGAATTACCGTATTCCCCGTAGTGAGTGTCCTAGTGATGAAAGGGATGTTCATAAATAACTCAGGTTTAGTCTAGAATTACCGTATTCCCCGTAGTGAGTGTCCTAGTGATGAAAGGGATGTTCATAAATAACTCAGGTTTAGTCTAGAATTACCGTATTCCCCGTAGTGAGTGTCCTAGTGATGAAAGGGATGTTCATAAATAACTCAGGTTTAGTCTAGAATTACCGTATTCCCCGTAGTGAGTGTCCTAGTGATGAAAGGGATGTTCATAAATAACTCAGGTTTAGTCTAGAATTACCGTATTCCCCGTAGTGAGTGTCCTAGTGATGAAAGGGATGTTCATCAGTAACATAGGTGAGTGGTTCAATCACTGGCCACTACATACCAAAGGCCTTAAAGATTGTACTTGTTACCTGACACTCAGCGTTACAGGGCTAAAACAACAACTGGTCTGCTGTGAGGCTGTCACACACATGCACTCATGCATGCATACACATTATTATGCATACAACAATCTGGAGTGCGACATTAAACCCCTTTCCCCTGTTCATCTCCATCTCTTGCGGCGTTATTGGATCACACAGTGCAGCATATTCCCCTGTCTGCCATGCTCCATGTCATCTGCTGGAGCCATACTCTTGCTAAACCCCTTTTCTGCTCCCTTTCATCTCCCATCTCTTGCGACATTATTGAATGTGCAGCATATTCCCCTGTCTGCCATGCTCCATGTCATCTGCTGGAGCCATACTCTTGCTAAACCCCCTTTTCTGCTCCCTTTCATCTCCATCTCTTGTGACATGTCTGCCATGCTCCATGTGATGTGCAGCATATTCCCCTGTCTGCCATGCTCCATGTGATCTGCTGGAGCCATACTCTTACTCTTTGCTAAACCCCTTTTCTGCTCCCCTTCCTCTCCATCTCTTGTGACATTATTGGATGTGCAGCATATTCCCCCTCGCTGCCATGCTCCATGTCATCTGCTGGAGCCATACTCGACTTGCCAGAGCTCTGCCTACCTGAGCTGGGAATTACACCAGCAGACCAGATGGACGTACTACGCCATTCCTTCTCAACAAGAAACCAATTTCAGAAAGAGAAGAGTAATTTAGCCAGTAACACATCCAGCCAGTTTGATGAAGAACAGAATAGAATGTAACAGTGTAATAACACCTGCCCTTCAACTTGTTGATTAAACAGGTTCAGAGAGTGCATTTAATTGCATTCTTTCATCCCATGTTTTGTTGGAATGGCCCCGAGTGTATCACCGGCCTGTCAGCAAGCATCAATAATGAAAGACAGTTGTGAAAATGTCGTACTTTACTTGTTACACCGTCAAGTTTCTATCGGCATGTGTCACCCAAACACAACTTTCATGTACATTTCATTATGACAGCGTACTATACGATATAAGCGACGTTGATCGTCACGTACATTTCATGTTTGTCCATTGATCACCTTGGGTAATGGATTCCCCTGATGCATATTTCATGTAGACTGACATCCACATATGGCAATGCACCTTGTCGACGACATCATTGTTTGGTTAGTATGTTACAGAATTGAAGACAAGATTGAATTGGTTTATTGACAAGTTCACCAGATTGCAAGGATTTCTGGTTGTTTTCATTTGAGAAATGTGCATCATTGTTTGCCTACAGCAGAGCGGACAATGTACACAGTGTGGTTGAAGTGTCACTCATGTAACCATGTCAGTCACATTGACACTTGTCATGAGTCTGAAGATACGAGGAAAGTAGCAATAAGGCACAACTATCTGATCATTTATAACACAATATTAAGGAACACCAAAGGTTGCTGTTTCCAGAGTTTGTTTGATGAGCTTTAGATGGCCTATCATGAATTAAGACAACCCCAAAGGTAGATATTTGACCCCAAGGACCTGTCTTGTGCGTCAGAATTCCCAAATCATATCAATAAAAGCAAATACTAGTGTGTCTGTGACTTGTATTTCATACATAGCACGGCCAAGGAAGAGACATTATTGTACTGAATACAGTGTTAACATGCCTCTGAAATTAAGGAATAAAACTGAAACCAAATCCCTATTTTGGTGAAAGAAAACAACAATTATTTCAGGTATCCTGCGAGGGAACTTAGTTTCCAATCCTAGAATATATCCCTGTAGACAAATTCCTTGTCATCGTTTGTGTTTAAATCTATGTTTAAATGCACAACTTACACCTGACAATTGTCTGAAGATACCTTGCCTTTTAAAGAGAAACCCCAGTCTGCTGTCTGCTGACTGTCTACTGATTGTCCAGCTCTGCCACCAAACTTCAATAGACAATCTGAGAACTGGGGTTGTCACAGTCCACGGTCGATATCAACATCCAGTATGTGTTAGTCATACTGCTTGCTCATGAAGGGAAATCCTTCATTCGAGTGTAAAACACAAGGCTTAAGGGGTTCAGGGTGTATCTGTCCTAGTCGTAGAGTCGATATTGAAGTAAGCATCGATGCTTGAAATGTTGTAATGTTTATCTCCGTGTAAATATTGGTATATGCACTCAGATGCCAGCCCACGTGATGGAACTTCCTCGTGTTGGGTGTTAGTGCAGTTATTAGTCACTCTTTCTTCCCAGAGTTCCTTGCGGCCCAGCATAGTACCTCTGCCACAGTACAGTGAGTTGTGACGTCTTGTCACGTCTTACACAATCCATTCATCAAATTCTATGTTTCTCATCTGTGTGTCCCAATTGAGCAGATCGATGCTCATGCTGTTGATCACTGGATTGTCTGGTCCAGACTCGATTATTTACAGACCGCCGCCATATAGCTGGAATATTGCTGAGTGCGGCGTAAAACTAAACTCACTCACTCACTCTCATCTGTGTGATGTTTGAAGAGTCTACACATTTTAAATATATGTCCTAAAATGGTAAAGTTTCTATTGAGAAAATATGAATAAATTGCATATTCATCCTTTGTTTACATTGGTTGTACGAGTCATTGAAGCCAGCGACAGACTTTATGATCACTTTTCGATCACCTTCATGGACAAAGATATGTTGTTGTGCACTTTGCTGCTGTAGGTGTAGAACATCTATATAAATTTGCAAAACAATATGTAAATTGCACCAAAAGCCTTCCATTAGGCAAGTCTGCTATGATTTCTGAATAAACACTTTTGTTTCCAAACAAGAGAAAAGTCACGTGATGTGCAAATTAGCCCGTGGCATATGTAGTGCATGGTCATGATGGCGCTAGAATGGTGGTGTTATTGTTACTATCTGGATGGAAATATATTACCATCTGGTCTATAAACAGTATAGTACGTGGTATAGGGTGTTGTATGGGATGTAGTATAATATGTTCAGTCAGTGGAATAATCTACACATGGAATGCTGTTTTCGTATCACACAGCAGAATAATTCTTGATATGTCAGCTGTTATTTGTGAAGCCTAAGCTGTTATATATATGGACTAAATATATTTCATACTTGAAACTGTGTGTGTTGGTAGTTGTGAGGGAAAAGGTTTTTTATGCTGCTTTAAGCAATATTCCGGAATAACGGTGAGAAGCATCAGAAATTGGGTTCACATATTGCACTTATGAAGGGAATTTAACGCCAGTCTTTGGTATGACAAGTGAATGTTTCTGACCACCCCAGTGGTGTGTCGGTAGTAGAAGATTAAAACCTTCTTGTATTAACTTGAGGCCCAGAGGAATGAATTGTCGCAGTTATTTATGTACATGATGAACCAGTAGTAGAAGCTGTAGAATTAAAACCCTCTTGTATTAACTGGGGACCCAGAGTAAAGAATTGTGGCAGTTATTTATGTACGTCATGAACCAGTAGTAGAAGATGTACAATTAAGACCTTGTATTAACTGGGGTCCAGAGGAATGAATTGTCACAATTATTCATGTACGTCATGAACCTGTAGTAATGTCTGTATGGGAGGTGAGTACTAGTTCAGTATTTGTTGAGTGAATTACAGACTCTTGAATACAAATTGTACCTTCTGTAACACACTGGACATGTAGGAATGGTCCTTCTGGAGTCACACTGTGAAGTTGGGGGGACCACCAATTGATATTCTGCTGGGTGGAGTTGGGGACGAAATATGTTTAACTCAAAATGTTTGGCCAAAGAAAATGTTTCTGCTTACAGTGTAGGATGTGTTGTAAATTGAATAAGAGTTACATCTGTCATGAATTACTTTAATTGCTATCTTTTTTGCCAAACCACAATTCAGGGATAGAAATACTTTTTTTTTCTAAGTGTGCCTTAGGGCACCATTCAAATATGTATGGTATTATTCAATTTGGAAAAAAATAATTGTTTTGGGGATTAAATGACTAAATGTGAGTTATGTCTCTGAAAAATCAGGCGTGTCAAAAGGGCACCGAGAACATTTTTTAGCCGTGCCATTTCAATAATTACCGTGCCTAGGCACACTAATATATGGGGTATTTCGAACCCTGCCATTGCACTTTTTAAATAATATCATGTCTCTTCCAAACACACACAGACACCCATACCCAATGTAAAATTGCGACTCTGCCGACAGAAGTAAAACCTTCTTTAGACACCATGTTATGTGACATCAATGGTTCAAGGTCAGCTACACTTCCACGCCACCGTTTCAGTGCCACATAAATCCCAGATACAGTTACATTGCACTTGGGATCTTATTGGATACATGACATTTAAAAGAAACATTTTTCATCGACTCATAGATGACAATGATGATTTGTTTAGAAAGCAGTAATGGTGGTAACACGACCTTGGCCTTTGTGAAGGATATTGGTCACATGTTGGTGCTGTCCCTGCCGCGTGATGGAGTTAGTCCACCCACGGTTAAACATACACTGTCAAGGTTGTTCTGACATCAGGGCTGGTGGAGTACACTGACGAAAGCTCTGTGTGGGTGATGGGTAGACTGACTATACATGCTGCTTGATGCCATGTTTTACCACCTTGTACAAATGTAGCTTATCTGTCATTGACCATTATGTTTTCCTCGCGGTGTCATCGCAATGGATGCTGTTTCCACAGCGTGTTGGCTTGAGTAGATTCTGCCGTATAAATAGACACTCACCGGAACAACTGATACCATTAATGGTGCTCTCGTGATAGCATTCTTTCAGCGTATTTCAAGGATATGCAGTGATATCAGTTTTTAGGTAAACATTCCAAGTGATTGTCAACCTTGAAAACCTTTTTTAGTATTGCTAAAAAAACCTTCTGTTTTCTGATTATGTGGGTAAGTGCTATCAGAAGACAGAAGTTCTGTATGTGAAGACTTACCTTCATAAGGTGAACAACCATGTCTGCTGTGTATGTAAGAAATGTATTCACTTGAAAAATAGTTTTCTTACATCATTACAGAATTATCACAGAGGTAGAATTACGTTTGTAAATTTATTCAATTTATTCAACGTATGTGATATTAATGTACTGTGCTTGACAGCTTTATGTTTATGCAAATGATATTTAAAATGAGGTTGACAAACACATAACACTCTGGACATGTGGCCTAAATATAGTTTACCTTACAACTGTACTATGGGCCGTGTGGCGTGAATTACAAAATAAACTTGACTGATTGACATTAATGTGTATTTTGATGTGGTTATTTTGGTGCTGTCATATCTGTGAACCTTTGCGTTTTACTTAACATGTGTATTACTGTTTTACTGTTCATGCAGTGTGTATTTCATATCATCAGAGTTGTATTAACATGTTTTTTATTTTACATACGGAGCACACATCACACTGGGTGCGATGATAGTTTCAGTTTGGAACAAAGCAATCGGTTCCGAAGTAGGAGAACAAGAATCAAATGTAAATTTTCTAAAATTTGTAAAGTTTGTCACTATGTTGTGGAGTATTTGCTGAGAGTTACTGCAAAACGACACAAGAATGCACATTTATTTGAACTTATCTGCATTTGCATTTGACACATTAAGGTCATGTGTGTTTTTGGTTGTTGGTTGCCCTTGGCTGTCTTTCCTGTACTAGGATGCTTTACCCAGGGAAAAGTTTGAACCCATGAAAAAATACATGATTTTTTGTGTGGTCTGAGAGTGCTTTACCAGAAAACATAACACGGCCATTCCGGTGTTTATTTTCATTTGTTTCAAGGTCAACTTGGGCAGGTGCTTTCAAAAAAGAAGAATGTTTTTTTCTGACATTGAATTGTCAACTTTGTGCAGTGAGATTAGATGATTTGAACAACCAACAGTTGATTAACTGTTTTGTAGCAAAGAGCTTGCCTGTTACTTGAACTTTGCACCATGTTTCTTTGAAGATTTACCTCTAAATGCAAAAAAACTACGCTATCCATACAATTCTGTGGTATCACTGTCGTAACATTTCCGACAACATGTTGCCAAAATTTGTAGAAGAGGTGCCTTTGTTAACTCAATGCCACTGCCATTCAGATCATTGTGGTGTTCTTAAACACTTCCTTTGTTCCTGCTGCTAGAGCTGTTGACAATCACATTACGAGAATACAAGCTTTAATCTGCTCTGATGGCCCAGAGCAGACGCAGCATTGTTTGACTCGAGTTTTGCAGGCAACTACTAATCCAAGAGCCAGAGTAATCAACTCACACGAATCAGCGACATTGCTTCCAGTAAGCTAAAGATGTTATTTGTCCTTGACATTGTAATTGACAATTTTTTTAAGGATCAAATAATTAAATGGCTGAACCTGTCGTAGTGAAATAGAATACAAATAGAATTCCTCTTCCAATTCTTTTCTGTTTAAGTTTGATGCTATGTTATAAGGATAAGAGATGCCTTAGCATGCTTACATATTTTGTGGTGTGGTTTTGATTCTTGGTCTGTTCTGTTTAACAAAGTGTCTTTGATAATATTGTCATCGAATGACGTTTTATTTTAAGAACTGCAGAAAGATTTAAGAAATGTATTTTTATAATGTTGTCCCTTGTGGTTGACTCACATCCAGGATTCGAACCCCAAATCCCAGAGTCAGGCACTGGATAGCCAGAACACAAAGTCAGCTATCTAACCCACTCAGCCATCGCGAACAGAAACAAACAAACCAGCGACATGTCTGTGATTACGAGTTCCAACTAAAGGCAGAACCACCACATATAAATATTATGAAGCATTGTTACAAACAGCACACACTCTATTGTAATATGTATACTCTAAACAATGACTTTGTAACACGGCTTGTCATGGCACAGTGGTCAACACAGACCACCTGAAGGCGTGAATGTACGACACTTATTGCGGGACAATGTATTGACAAGAGGTCAGATGTGATTAAAGCGGAGATTATGAATCCTGCCTTGACCACCTGGCTGGACTAATAGCTGTGACAGTTTAATGTCCACATGACCCACAATGCCTCAGTGGGACTCCATCACAAAGCATTAGCACATGATTATATGGATTAGGTAGACGGGTTTATATGATTATTGTATTACAGAAACACCCGCGTCGTGGTTTGCTGAGCTGTGTCAGTATTTCAATTAAGGATGAAATTCTTCATTTAGACATGTTTTCATTTCTGAAGAAATCGGGATGATTAATAGTTGCTAGCTTTAGTAATATTTGACATATGTTTGGGTCTTTTTGTGGTCTTATGTATGTGTATCTTTTGTTGTATGGTATGTGTTTTTAACTTTTTTTTAACCGTGCGAAGCAAATTTCCTTCGGGATAATAAAGCATTATCTTATCTTATCTAAACTTTTTGAATTACTTCTCCAGGCCATGAGTTAACAACAGCTGGTTTTATACAAGATAATATTTTTAGTAGGTTTGGGGGTGTTTATGACAAAACATCATACGTGTGGATATGAAAAGAGAAAATAAATAGTCGACAGAAAACATTCTGATTTTAAGTTTTTCGTGCGAACACAAATGCTAGCCCTGATTGTGAATATTCATCTAAATACATTCACATCCTTTTCTGCTCCAAAGTCTTCAGGTGATTACACATGGGACTGTGTTTTAAACCTCAGAAGGCATCGCTTGAAAATTTCATTTCCGAAAGAGGCTGAATTCAGAATAAACCGCAAGTACAGAGCAGCCAAGCCCATGTGTGCATTACTTGGAGTGGAGAGTGACATTACACATTCATCAGACGTGACAGGTTCGAGAGGTTGTCACATTCTCCTGGCAACACATTTCAACTTCTTGGACTTTGAATTATTTGAAAATGTATTTTTTTTTACTTCACCGTGAATTATTAAGTCCATTTTCAGGCTTCTTTTGACGTTTTTTGTATCTTTCCATCCTTCTGCCACTCTGGTTTTAAGGAGGAGCACATCTATTTTGGTGCCAATGTTTGGAGCAGATTTGTAAGAAGTTCGATGATTCTTAAATATTTTTGTGGAAATATTAAGATTATGTCACTACTTGTCTCAGGATTACAGCAGTTTGAAATATTGCAAATTATTTTTTTTAACGTAAACACCATTTCAGGCTAAAATTTGTACCTTGACCTAATGAAATGAGCAATGATTCATTCTTTCATGTTAAGTGATGCTGCTTGCAGGTTGATGACAACTGTAACCCAGGTTAATTGTGTGGTCCCCCAGTAAATACTGCTCATCTCCAATTCTCCAGGGGCAGGGTAAAGCAGGGGCAGGGTAAAGCAGGGGCCCAGAGGGTACAGTGTTTGCTCATCTTCTATTCTCCAGTGTCAGTCTATGGGTAAGCAGGGGCTCAGAGGATAAAGTGTTTGTTCCTCGTATTCAAAACCAGTGTTTCTCCATGCAGATTCCTGGATGCAAAGGGGGATATGGACATTTTTGCTGATGGGAAGAATTATTGACGATTATCGATGTGAAACTGTGTCATCAATAACATCCTGCGTAAACTGCGTTG